CAGGAGACTCGCTTGAGCCCAGGAGTTGGAGGTTGCTGTGAGCTGTAATGCCAGGGCACTCTACCCAGGGGGACAGCTTGAGGCTCTGTCTCAAAAAAGGATAAATAAATTTAGAAAATTACCATTTTATAACACCAATATGCTAACTGGTAGAAGAAAGGACATCAAAAGGTACTGGCCCACTGGGAGGAGGCTGCAGGGACACAGGAGTCTCACACGTGCAGTCTCCAGGCACATGCAGCACTCGTGCTGGAAATGTACGGTCCACGTCTGATTAGGAAGAATCAGTCCAAAGAATCCAGAATGTGAACAAGTGACCTATATATGCTCTGCAAAGTACATCTTGGAGAAGAGGGGAAGGGTGGGAGACTGCTTTAGACCAAGAATAACCCATGAAACTTCATCAGATCATGCACTGGAAACAAAACAAAGAGTTACAAAGACTTCTTTGGAGCCAGGCATGGTGGCTCATGTTTATAATCCTAGAACTCCGGGAGGCTGAGATGGGTGGATTGCTTGAGCTCAGGAGTTCAAGACCAGCCTGAGTAAGAGCAAGACTTAGTCTCTACTAAAAACAGAAAAACTAGCTGGGCGTTGTGGCAGGTACCTGTAGTCTCAGCTACTCAGGAGGCTGAGGCAAGAAGATCACTTGAGCCCAAGAGTTTGAAGTTGCTGTGAGCTATGATGACACCATGGCACTCAACCCAAGGTGACAGAGTGAGATTTTGTCTCAAAAAAAAAAAAAATTTTTTTTGGGGGGGGACAACTGGGATATCACTGAATCAATGATGATCATCTTAGGTATGCTAAGGATATTGTGGGCTGTGGGGAAGACCAGCTCTCTTTTAAGGAACATTACGGTACCCTAAAGGGCCTAGCTGGAAAGTGGCGAAGTGTCTGATGGTTTGACAAAAGAGAAGAGACACGTAAAGAAAGAAGAGAGGAGGGAGAGAGGCTGGGAGAGAGGGATAAAGAATATGGCAAGATGTTAAAAGCTGATGAACCAAGTTTAGGAGCCTAGGGATATTCACCATACTCTCAATTTTTCTATGGGTTTGGACATCTTCTAAATCAATTTAAAAAAAAAGAAGAATACAATCCTATAAGTAACATTCTCAGGCTAGAGGTGTAGCAAAGAAGACATTTATTCTCAGTTTCCAGTAACTCTGGCGAGCAGAAGAGAATGCTGGGCATCTTGCATGCCCTCTCTGGCTATTTCCCCCAGGAAGGTGACTGAGCAGTAAAGGGTGGGGCAACTCAAGCCAGAAAAGAGATGGTGAGACCAAGAGGCACACCAGGACGGAAGACACGCTGACAGCCCCTTCTAGCCGGCACTGCGTTCCCAGGCCAAGGCTCCCTGTTTGGAATGGCTGTCACACAGCTGCTCAAAGAACCTGCTGTGTGGAGTTATTTGTGATACAGAATTAGAAGAGGATCAACACAGCATTTTCTTCTTTGAAACATCAGTTACACCTACTCTTTCTTTATAATAGAATATTTTAATGAGATTTTACTTTTATAACTCAATGGAACAGATGTAGGATATGTCAAAAATAACTAAACATTTTAAATAAATTCCATTTATTTACAAAAGCAATCTAATACCTGATCTGTATTCATGAAGGAGGGAGAGAACGAAGCCTATGCACTAGTCAGACCTGTTCCTTTCATTCCCATCAAGCCTCTCAGGACTATTCTGGCTCCTGCACAAGAGCCAGCATCTATTTTTATTGCTTTCCTTCATGGATCTTTACATTACAGCAGATGGAGCTGTGTTTCAGAATTGCATAATCTCAGATTCCAGATATAGGTAGTATGTCAGACCCACTTAGCTACCTGATTTTCATACATTATTCACATACTGTTTGAAATGCCATCGTAAAAATACTGACTCTCAATCTCCGTAATAGCTCTCCATTTTTGGCTCCTGGCTCATAAACCTAATAAGGTTCTCATGCTTCATTTTCTTTCTTTCTTTTTTTTTTTTTTGCTTTCATAAATGTATTCAATCAATTCTTAAACCAAGACACAGACCCTGTTAGCAGAGTGTGGATGCAACCTAGACATACTCTCCAGTCACCTGGAGACCAAGAGGAAGGCATTTCACTCACAGGTGGGGATACCATGTAATTTTCAAAGAATCCAAAGCAGTTCCTATTCTTTCCACACCTATGTTTTCTTCCAGTACAACAAATTATATTTTAATTCTGCCTAACAGACCTTCTTCATTATCAGATAAATTTGACAGTAGCAGCGCAGTCCTGGTGCTGTTCACAGTAATAGACACTGTTGGGTAACTTCTAACAAATCCGGCCTGACCCTGAAAGTGGCAGCCATGGGCAGCAGTTCAGGAGAGCTGAGTGAGGAGTGGGAAAGGGTGAAAGGAGAGGACCATCCTCCAACTCTCACAACACTATTCAAGTTGAGGTGGCAGTTGAATCCCAAAGCCTAGAAGTTCATTGTTAAACAAGGAGATTACCCAGAGATTAAGACAACACCTTGGCTCTGGCAATGTAGGCTGAGCCTCAGCCCAAGTACAAACAGAAGCTGGAGAGGGAGGCTTACTGGAACATGTTTAGAAAATTCTCTTACTTCCTGGGGTTTTATGCAAACTCGGTCCTTACCTTGGAATTCAACATAATTTCCGGAGCCCTGTACCAACGCGTGGCTACATACTCTGTCAGGAACCCTGTGTGATCATGGTCTGGATCTGCAACACGGGCCAGGCCAAAGTCACAGATCTAAGAGAAGAAAACAAAAAAACAAAAATCAAGATGCTTTCTTAGAAATTCTAACCAGCTTCTTATCAAAACATCACAAAAATTAAGAAAATAGTAATAATAATGATAAAAAGTAGTTTGCACCATTACTATATGGCAGATTACTTTTCCAGGAATTCTACAAACCTATTTTTTGATCTTCCCAACAATCTGAAAGGCGGCAGTGACAATCCATATATCAGAGTCTAGGACACAGACTGAAGGAGTCTTTAATAGGACACAATTTATTATCTGCTTAGCACAAAGCAATCTCACTTTGGTGTTTGACAACGGCTGTTCTGGGTAAAGTCAACACTGGGCCCTTCTTCAGGCCCATCCTGCGGGAGCGCCGGGATTGCTGGGAGGATGGGAACTGACCCTTTACTCTCCAGACTCTGCCTCCTTCCAGTCTTCTACTCAGTCCATGAATATAAGTATTTCCAAAGATTCTTCCCACTTCCCTTCCCTTTCAAGTAGTCACATCTATTTCCAAAGCTTTAAAAGAAAGTTTCATGTGCTGAAGACATACCTTTTAAAAACATGTTTAAGATGCTCAATTGTGTCTAGAATTTTTTTTTTTTCTTAATACCCAGCTTCTTATTTCTTATTGACTCACAAAATCACTTGCTGGCCTTTTGTCGCTTGGCTCTCCAACACCATGGGGCTACTTGGGATCAAGGAAGGACTTTGCTAGACTCCAACATATACAAGATATCACTCTAATGCATTTAGTCCCACACAACTACAAGACATTTTAATTCTTTACTTCTTTGGAGAACTAACTCAAGTGAGAGACACGTTAACAAAAATAGGTCAGGGCTCAG